TCGCAAAGCCTCACTTTTGGAAACTTGGCTACTGCTACTCGCATTCTCTGGTGCCCTTCTCCTACCAAACCCCGAACGGCAGTGGGTGCTTTACATATAATGATTATAATACCCAACTTTCGCGAAACTTTCGCGAAATAAAATTTTACTTTCGCGAGCTCGAAAAAAAAACTTTCGCGCGGGTTTCCAACATAACATGCACGGCTTTCGCAATTAGAACTCCTTACAAAGACCTTTAGATCGATCACACATATATATATATATAAAGCATATCAAAATAACATCATCATTCTTGATGATTCTTGTTGTATCTTCTTTTGCTTCAGTTGATGCATGTTCATTCTGAGATTCTAACCCCAGACCCTTGAGAGTGCCATCTCGCACTGCTTGGGCCATCTGGTCTTCGTTGCTTGTTACGACCTGCACACATCTGAGGGCTCAAGGGCGGCAAACCACACGATGAGCTTGTATTCGCAATTCTGTACAGCCCGGGACTAGTTCTATGAGCTCTAGCTGTGTCTGCTTTCAAGGTCTGCAAATTGTAAAACCTTCCTGGTTGCAAAAGATGTATGCAATAGTCGGCAAGAGATACTGTAGTGGCAGCGAACTTGGCAACGCAAACAGACTGCATGTGGAACAGAAACAAAGCGAAGTCTCAGAGTCTCATAGAGTCTCAGAGCGAAGATGGCACACATTTCAATTGATAGTGAGAGCGATAGCGGCCGATAGAGATAGTGATTACATGTCATTACGATGATAGTGATTTCGATTCAAAGTTTTTCTGCCGCGAAACATGCCATATCGCACTTCGAACATCTTCGAACTATATCCCACCAATGCGCACACCAAAGTAAGTACGAGACTTGTGCCTCTGAAAAGGGGAAAGGTAAAGGGGCAAGAAATGAATGAGAGCAAAATGACAATCATGCTTTGATATAATGAACTCAGGTGCCATTCTGCGGGAATCAACTAATGGTTCAGATTCCCCTGCTTATGAATTGAGATGAATTGAGGCAAGTCTTACGTGAGATGTGCGTTCCAGATGGTTCCACTACTTCCAGACCAAACACAACACACAGCTCACAGCCAGCTCCATCGCCTCTTCGCCGAGCTCATTTCGCATGACTTTCTTCTGCGGTCCCATGGCCTTTTTCAGAGGCTCTGTTGCTCAAAACATTGCAAAATGATGAAAAGAATAGAAGGATATAGAAGATTATAGAAGGATGTTTATCCGCAAATGACCACAAATGTCAGGACAGCGAAACACATTAGCCACGAGATGCCACAAGCATTTGTGAGGATTAATATGGATTAAATTAACATGGTTTAAGTGCAAATTTGAGTGGCCTGACTGGACCGAAGTGTTTTGCTCAGTTTAAGCATATCAGGCCTCTCTGCCTTCGTCATTCTTCTTGGACTTGAGAAACTCCTTCAATGTTCTCAACGCATCTCAAGGCTAAGTTGGAATGTGACTGCTAGCAGCTTCCGTCCATTGCCATGTCAGGTTGTTCAACAAAACGTCGTTGGCGAATCTTGACGGGCACAGTGGACCCAACAACACTCACCTACAGTGGACCTACAGCAGGTGCTCTCCTTGAGTTCCTCCTGGCAGTGGAAATATGTGTGGGATCATTGGGATGATATGGGATGACTAATGATTAGTGACTATTGCCACTAACGCCACTGCCCATGACAAACACTTTGCACTAGGACAGTGTCTGATTGATGACATGATATGACATGTTAAAATTTGCTCGCACTCGCACTGTGCAGAATCTCTTGAGTGTCGTTGATTCAGGACGTAGGGACGGTCATCAGATTCAGGCGCGTGAAATGTCTGAAATCATAGCTCTCCTCGTTCATCTGCTTCTTTGCAAGCAAAAGCTTCTTTGGCTTGAGCCCCAGTGCCTCCGAAACTCTGAGCAACAGTCGAAGTTGGCTTTGAGGTTCAGCCACCATATATGCCTGCATGTATACATTTCATTCTATTTCATATCTTTTGAAACATATATCATTCTTGACCCAAAGCAACAAGTATGAAGTATGAGTAATTATATATGAATATACAAGTCGAGAGTGGCTCACTGTGAAAAGTTTGCTTCGCCTCCTGCATCAACTCTTCCTCGTATGCCTATGGACTCTGTGGACAGTGCCCGGGAATAAAGCAACAGGCAAACACCCGAGATCACCCGAGCAAAGAAACAAGTTGCTTGGCAGCCATTGGCTTGGCCAAGGCAACCAAATACTCAGTAGTCTGTGCGTTTTCACTGATGATAATCAAGAATGAATGTCTTTGAGTGGATCAAGGAAATTCCAAGAATGTCGATTATATCTATACGTAGACCATCAAAGAATCATAGTCATTGAATACAGTAAGTCTTCATGATAATCCACAATTCATCACTATTCTATATAGTATAATTTCTGTGCAAAATATTGCAAATATCTATTGGCCGACCTGCACAGCACCTCGCTCTTCAGCAATGCTAGCCTGAGCTAAGCGCAGAAAGCCCTCGGTAAGCCAGTAGTCAATGACTAGAAGGCTACGACGACTACTACTACTACTACTACTACTACTACTACTACTACTATCATTATACTACTACCACCACCACCACCACTACAACTACTACAACTACAACTACTACAACATACTACAACATACTACAACAACTACAACAACAACAACTACTACCACTACAACAACAACAACAACTACAACAACAACAACTACTACTACTACTACAACTACAACTACTACTACAACTACTACAACTACTACAACTACTACAACAACAGGAACTACATTGACATCATCTCCAGGCACTTCAGCTGCTTGAATCTTATCTCAATTCAAGTGGAAACATGCGGAAACAAAAAAACATGTTTCGCCATATTTCACCATGTTTCACCCAGACACTGTTGTATCGCGCTTTCTTGCATACCAGTCGTGCAAGTAGTACTTGCCAAACTTGCCCATCTGGCCGACCTCGCGTTTGAAAAGAATCCAATAGTGCAGTACAGGTGAAGAAAATTCGAAAGTGTCTTCGTGATTCTTCGGGATCAAAAATGACGAACCTGGTTTGTGGAATGTTTGTGGTCTTTAGGATCTTCAGGTGATTTCACATATGGAAAGACTCACGCCTTGGTCGACTGGCCGAGGTATGACTCGCGATCCTGGTCACAGCAATGGCAATGGCTGCGATTTAGCAATATTTTTTGATGGCCGGGTCCAGGATGATCAAATGTGTGACAATGCCAAACAGAGCACCAAAACGATACCTTGATACAAAGTGCATCGAAGTGCATCGAAGTGCTATGCGGCAGAAGCTGTCCTTGAACTCCTGCTCCTTGATGGAGGTCCATGTGAACTGTTCTCGTCCACCACGACAGCCATCTTTGATGCGCACCTAGGATGATTCCGTGTGGGGCTCAGTGCAAAAGCATCGAATTGCAAGGAAACTCACGCAACTCATCAACATTCATCAACAACATACCAAGAAGAGCTGCACTCGGATGTGTGATAGAGTCAGGTTAATACTTAATACTGCACATGTCAAAAATGTGGAAAGCAAGATATACCACACAACTACGCAGGTAACAGTTCTTCATGTCATGTTTTACTTGGAAAGAGAGGTGTGAGATTCCAACTTAGCATCGACAGATTGCTCCCCAGAATTGCGACTGTATTAATATGGTAACTACATTTAAACATACGGACTTTTAAATATACGAACTGGTATTTCATACTACCTCCGGGGCCTCGCGGTCTGGCCCGCCCTCCGCATATTTAAATGTCGTTACCGTATATGCGATATTTATATATATATATATCATGATGTGATGTGATGTGATGTGATGAGATGTGATGAGATGTGATGATATGTGATGATATGTGATGATATGTGATGATATGTGATGATATGTGATGATATGTGATAATATGTGATGATATGTGATGATATGTGATGATATGTGATGATATGTGATGATATGTGATGATACGTGATGATATGTGATGATATGTGATGATATGTGATGTTGTGATGATGCGATGATGTGATGATGTGATATGATGTGATGTGATATGATACGATGCGATATGATATGATATGATATCGATGATATGATATAACATAACATAACCGTATATATTATATATATATATTATTATCATACACATATTTTATATATATACTATCATCTATCATCTAGGAAAAAGTCTCCGCTTGAGCACCTTGACGTCAACCATGGTGCTTTGGCTTGGCCGAGCCGGTTGAGATCGAACTTGAGGTTGCGGGTTGCCCCTAGCGACTTAGTCTGTCGGAGTCAGCTCTAGTCACCAAGAATATGAGCAAATTGGTAAAGTACTAATGTATACTAATGCATGTTGAATCTTGTCAGTTGAATTGGCTAATGTATGCTAATATGCATGGTTTGAGCTGAGTGAGTAAATTTGGGCCTCGTACTGCAAAGGAAAATAATCATGAAAGAAACAGAAAGAAACCATAATCCATTGAAGAATGTCTAACAGGCAGCTGAAAAACTTAAAACGTCTGGTCCTGGGAACCTTGCCAAGAACAGCCTGTGCAAGGAGTCAACTCAGCACTTTTGCCATCTGGATGCTCTCTCAGGATCTGATTTGCATGTCCAACACCTTTGGTCAGGTGAAGAAAAACACTGTACAAATCTGTACAGCCAAGATCAGCCAAGGGACCTTCACGTTGGCCAGGATTTCTGCTTCAGGCACCAAAGCACATTGGACCGTTTTGACCCAAAATGCGTGTGATTGAAAAGACAAACTTTGCTGCTTCGCGATTGAACAGTGACACAAGGCGAATCTTGTGAAACGCAAGCTTGCAGTCGATCTTGGATGGAAAAAAAAGTGCAAAGTAAACCAAGAGTACTGGCATGGTTGTGCAATGTTGTGCATCTATGACTGTCAGTATGGAAAGAGTCGTCCATGGAAAGCTTGACAAAAATCTCTAGCTTTGAGTATCCAACTCTTGAGTCGTCTGCGAGATTTCATTTCACAAGGACGCATATTTATTCAAGTCTCTAAAATTCTGGCAAGAACATGTTCACTTGGGTGCGATCTCAATCGACCTGCAGTCATACAGCCTTTGAATCTGGCATCATCACTGTCTTGATATTTGTTTCAGAACCTTATTTTATTATTTGAATGTATTTGTGATCCGTTGCTTCCTGCCCTGCCTGTCCTGCCCCGCCTGCCCCATCTCAACTGATTACAGTAGACTTATCTCATCTTATCTCAATACGCCACCGCTGGAGGCCGCTGTGATTTTGATGTCAACTTCGTGGCTGTGTGGCGCTGGGGACCCACACGAGGCACCGCTGCCCAAGCACGAGTATGAACTGTCGCCAGCTTCGCCAGCAATTTGCTCCTCTTCCAGCTGTCCCAGCTCCGACGCTACCGGAGCGCCACGATTGCGGCGCTCCAGCGGCAACACGCCTTGAACCGGACACTTTCCCAAGGACTGTACAGTAGCACTACGTGCATATCGTTTTGTCTCGTTTTGTTGGTGTGTATATGATGTATGTAATGTAATGTAATGTAATGTAATGCAATGCAATGCAATGCAATGCAATGCAATGCAATGCAATGCAATGCAATGGAATGCAATGTAATGCAATGCAATGCAATGCAATGCAATGGTATGTATGTATGTATGTACGTACGTACGTACGTACGTACGTATGTATGTATGTATATATATGTATGTATATACAAGTTAGACACACATATATATGTATATATACATTATCATATGTATATTATATATAATGACTACATGTGCAACAAAAAACAAACATGTGCAATGTTTTTTGTGGCCAAGTTCGGTGCTCGCATGCGGAGCCGGCACTTGGCGCAGGGGTGGTAGCCAGAGCACCTTGCCTGGCAAGTCAGACGAGCGGGGAGTCTCTACGAATAGCGGAAAAAGAATTGGGAAAATAAAAAAACAGAGAATCCCACTGCATTGGCTCCCCAGGTTTCTCACTGAAAGAAAAATACTTACCGAAAGAAAACTGACGACACAAACAAGGAGCCTTTTGGCCTTGCAACTGGTGACATATTCTTCCGGATCCGTTGCTCCTGGGCAAAGCAGGACGAAGCATAGGCTGCATGTATCACAATCAATAAAAATTGCATTGTTCAATTTGTACGAGATCGTTGTCTAGAGTTTGGAGCCTTAAATGGCCTTCACCGCCTTCACCTTCAAATTTCAAGACTGCCATAGACTGCCTCTTTCATTCTCATCACTTAGGTCCTTCATGGGAAAGATCAAGACTTGCCGTGGCTTGCTGCTGGTTCGCCTTCGCCAAATTTGGGCTGCTGGTGGCTCCAGAAAACCTGAGGATGGAATGAAGAAAAAGTATCGAGATGCATGGAGATGGTTGGAGATGCATCAAGCATTCATAACACATTGAAATCCATTGAACACATTTGAACACATGAGTGTCACAGTGCATCAGCTCAGATCAGCGATATCTTGGACTCCCGACCTAGGTTACCTCGGTTACCTCGGTTCTTTGGGCTAGAACTGCTCGCGTCCAGAGTCTCCAGTGCCTGGACTCCCCCAGAGGGATCAACATGCTGAATAGATGTGAATTGTATATAATTATAATTATACAAATTATATCACATTATTCATGCTTTCAATATAGTTCAATTACTATTCAATTATTTTTCAATTATTCAATATTCATAGAAAACTGGGTAAACATCAGGCAAACGTTTGGCAAAACATGCAGAAAATATGAATAATTATGATGCGGATTGATGCGGAATCAATTGAACATATTAAAATATATTTAAAATATGTTAAAATCATGTGAAAGATGCTGCCATGCCAAAGCGTCCGGCCTCGAGTTGGGGAACAGCCTCCGAGTTGGTGGCGCTTGAAGCAGTGCCAGGGGGATCAGATCCCATCCAGGTGGAGGTCGTTCCTGGAAGACTAGCTCTGCATCTTTTACACGCAGCGTGATCATATTATGATGACATGTGATCAAATGTGATAAGATGTGATAAGATGTGATCATATTATGATGACATGTGATCAAATGTGATAAGATGTGATAAGATGTGATCAAATGTGGTAAGATGTGATCATATTATGATGACATGTGATCAAGTGTGATAAGATGTGATAAGATGTGATCAAATGTGATAAGATGTGATCATATTATGATGACATGTGATCAAATGTGATAAGATGTGATAAGATGTGATCAAATGTGATAAGATGTGATCATATTATGATGACATGTGATCAAATGTGATAAGATGTGATAAGATGTGATCAAATGTGATAAGATGTGATAAGATGTGATCAAGATGTGATAACATGTGATAAGATGTGATAACATGTGATCAAATGTGATAAGATGTGATAAGATGTGATCAAATGTGATAAGATGTGATCATATTATGATGACATGTGATCAAATGTGATAAGATGTGATAAGATGTGATCAAATGTGATAAGATGTGATCATATTATGATGACATGTGATCAAATGTGATAAGATGTGATAAGATGTGATCAAATGTGATAAGATGTGATCATATTATGATGACATGTGATAAGATGTGATCATATTATGATGACATGTGATCAAATGTGATAAGATGTGATAAGATGTGATCAAATGTGATAAGATGTGAAGATGTGATCAAATGTGATAAGATGTGATCATATTATGATGACATGTGATCAAATGTGATAAGATGTGATAAGATGTGATCAAATGTGATAAGATGTGATCATATTATGATGACATGTGATCAAATGCGATAAGATGTGATCATATTATGATGACATGTGATCAAATGTGATAAGATGTGATAAGATGTGATAAGATGTGATAAGATGTGATCAAATGTGATAAGATGTGATCATATTATGATGACATGTGATCAAATGTGATAAGATGTGATAAGATGTGATAAGATGTGATAAGATGTGATCATATTATGATGACATGTGATCAAATGTGATAAGATGTGATAAGATGTGATCAAATGTGATAAGATGTGATCATATTATGATGACATGTGATCAAATGTGATAAGATGTGATAATATGTGATAAGATGTGATCATATTATGATGACATGTGATCAAATGTGATAAGATGTGATAAGATGTGATAAGATGTGATCATATTATGATGACATGTGATCAAATGTGATAAGATGTGGTAAGATGTGATAAGATGTGATCATATTATGATGACATGTGATCAAATGTGATAAGATGTGATCATATTATGATGACATGTGATCAAATGTGATAAGATGTGATCAAATGTGATAAGATGTGATCATATTATGATGACATGTGATCAAATGTGATAAGATGTGATAAGATGTGATAACATGTGATCAAATGTGATAAGATGTGATAAGATGCGATAAGATGTGATAAGATGTGATGACATGTGATCAAATGTGATAAGATGTGATCAAATGTGATAAGATGTGATAAGATGTGATAACATGTGATCAAATGTGATAAGATGTGATAAGATGTGATAACATGTGATAAGATGTGATAAGATGTGATAACATGTGATCAAATGTGATAAGATGTGATCATATTATGATGACATGTGATCAAATGTGATAAGATGTGATAACATGTGATCAAATGTGATAAGATGTGATAAGATGTGATAACATGTGATCAAATGTGATAAGATGTGATAAGATGTGATAACATGTGATCAAATGTGATAAGATGTGATAAGATGTGATAACATGTGATCAAATGTGATAAGATGTGATAAGATGTGATAAGATGTGATCAAATGTGATAAGATGTGATAAGATGTGATAACATGTGATCAAATGTGATAAGATGTGATAAGATGTGATAACATGTGATCAAATGTGATAAGATGTGATAAGATGTGATAAGATGTGATCAAATGTGATAAGATGTGTTAAGATGTGATAAGATGTGATCAAATGTGATAAGATGTGATAAGATGTGATAACATGTGATCAAATGTGATAAGATGTGATAAGATGTGATAACATGTGATCAAATGTGATAAGATGTGATAAGATGTGATAACATGTGATCAAATGTGATAAGATGTGATAAGATGTGATCATATTATGATGACATGTGATCAAATGTGATAAGATGTGATAAGATGTGATCACATGTGATCAAATGTGATAAGATGTGATAAGATGTGATAACATGTGATCAAATGTGATAAGATGTGATAAGATGTGATAACATGTGATCAAATATGATAAGATGTGATAAGATGTGATAACATGTGATCAAATGTGATAAGATGTGATAAGATGTGATAACATGTGATCAAATGTGATAAGATGTGATAAGATGTGATAACATGTGATCAAATGTGATAAGATGTGATAAGATGTGATAACATGTGATCAAATGTGATAAGATGTGATAAGATGTGATAACATGTGATAAGATGTGATAAGATGTGATAAGATGTGATAAGATGTGATGACATGTGATCAAATGTGATAAGATGTGATCAAATGTGAAAAGATGTGATAAGATGTGATAACATGTGATCAAATGTGATAAGATGTGATAAGATGTGATAAGATGTGATAAGATGTGATCAAATGTGATCAAATGTGATAAGATGTGATAAGATGTGATAAGATGTGGTAAGATGTGATAAGATGTGATAGGATGTGATAAGATGTGATAAGATGTGATCAAATGTGATAAGATGTGATAAGATGTGATAAGATGTGATAAGATGTGATGACATGTGATCAAATGTGATAAGATGTGATCAAATGTGATAAGATGTGATAAGATGTGATAACATGTGATCAAATGTGATAAGATGTGATAAGATGTGATAAGATGTGATAAGATGTGATCAGATGTGATAAGATGTGATAAGATGTGATAAGATGTGACAAGATGTGATAAGATGTGATCAAATGTGATAAGATGTGATAAGATGTGATAAGATGTGACAAGATGTGATAAGATGTGATAAGATGTGATAAGATGTGACAAGATGTGATCAAATGTGATCAAATGTGATAAGATGTGATAAGATGTGACAAGATGTGATCAGATGTGATAAGATGTGATAAGATGTGATAAGATGTGACAAGATGTGATAAGATGTGATAAGATGTGATAAGATGTGACAAGATGTGATCAGATGTGATAAGATGTGATAAGATGTGATAAGATGTGACAAGATGTGATAAGATGTGATAAGATGTGATCAACATGTGATCAAGATGTGATAAGATGTGATAAGATGCGATAACATGATGTGATAAGATGTGATAAGATGTGATAACATGTGATCAAATGTGATAAGATGTGATAAGATGTGATAACATGTGATCAAATGTGATAAGATGTGATAAGATGTGATAACATGTGATCAAATGTGATAAGATGTGATAAGATGTGATAACATGTGATCAAATGTGATAAGATGTGATAAGATGTGATAAGATGTGATAAGATGTGATGACATGTGATCAAATGTGATAAGATGTGATCAAATGTGATAAGATGTGATAACATGTGATCAAATGTGATAAGATGTGATAAGATGTGATAACATGTGATAAAATGTGATAAGATGTGATAAGATGTGATAACATGTGATAAATGTGATAAGATGTGATATAACATGATGTGATAAGATGTGATAAGATGTGACAAGATGTGATAAGATGTGATAAGATGTGATGTGATAGATGTGATGTGATAACATGTGATCAAATGTGATAAGATGTGATAAGATGTGATAACATGTGATCAAATGTGATAAGATGTGATAAGATGTGATAAGATGTGACAAGATGTGATAAGATGTGATAAGATGTGATAAGATGTGATCAGATGTGATAAGATGTGATAAGATGTGATAAGATGTGACAAGATGTGATAAGATGTGATAAGATGTGATCAGATGTGATAAGATGTGATAAGATGTGATAAGATGTGATAAGATGTGATAAGATGTGATAAGATGTGATAAGATGTGATCAAATGTGATAAGATGTGATAAGATGTGATAACATGTGATCAAATGTGATAAGATGTGATAAGATGTGATAAGATGTGACAAGATGTGATAAGATGTGATAAGATGTGATAAGTGATCTTACATGATCTTACCATGAGCTGTGACGTTTCAGAAGTGCATCCACCAAATCTCGAAACGCTAACATGGACAGGGGACGAATCAAAAACGGAAACAAAAAGATCAAGTCTTATCTTTTGTCAAATCAGAAGTTAAAAAATGTTAAACATGTTTCAGCATGAGTTGATGGGTCACCTCTGGTTTGTCTGAGCCTATTAATGCCACTTGCTGCCCGGGACTATCGACTATCTATTGATTTATTACTCTTTTTGTGATCATTGCGGTTCATTATGATCTATTCAACATGTATTCAATATCTATTAAATATCTATTCAAGATCTATTCAAGATCCGTCAAATATCTATTCCATATCTGTTCAAGATCTATTCAATATCTATTCCAGATCTCTTAAAAGCTATTCAAGATGTATTCAAGATCTATCCGAGATCTATTCAATATCAATTCAACATCTATTAAATCACTTATTCAATATCGACTCAATATCTATTCAAGATCTATTCAAGATCTATTCAATATCTATTCAAGATTTATTCAATATCAATTCAATATCTATTAAATTATGTATTCAATATCTATTCAATATCTATTCAAGATCTATTCAAGATCTATTCAAGCACTATTCAATATCTATCCAAGATCAATTCAAGATCTATTCAAGATCCGTCAAATATCTATTCAATATCTGTTCAAGATCTATTCAATATCTATTCCAGATCTATTAAAAGCTATTCAAGATCTATTCAAGATCTATTCCATATCTATTCAGTATCCTATTTAATATCTATTCAAGATCTATTCAATATC